AATTCCTCTTCCATGAGGCTAATCTCTTCTCAAACTTTTATCACTGGGGTCCAAAATCTGCTCTCCCTGGGATTTGCCCCTAAAGGAAGCCCTAAGTATGACATAGGCCAAGCAGAGATGGAACACTCAAGACACTCCGCAATAGCCTCGGCCTCCCCTACCTCCAAATTTATACCCGCTATGTAGCTCTTTTCCAAATTTATTCTCAAATTAGAAATACTTTCAAATCCTTTGATTAGCTCCTTTAGGTTTGCTACCTTTTCGCTAAARYCTCCYTCACAAAAGATCATTAGGTCATCTGCAAACTGAAGGTGGGTGACGGAGGAGGTGTACACATTGTGGTATGGTGAGACATACTATTAACTATTGTTATGATCTACATGGTCCACCTTCAACCTAGGCACAAGGTTCAAAGCAGCGACACAGGCCGATACGCCTCGGCTTGTGTCGTTGCTTTTTTTATGTTTTATTTTTTTCAAAACCGGTTTAGAGGGATCGGTTTAAGTCCCGGCTACCCTCTGAACCATGGTCTGACCCGATACAACCCCTGTAGGGACATATCGGGAAGCTATCGACACGATACATATCGGCCGATACGTATTGAAACTTTGAACCTTGCCTGGGCAAATCATGCAGTGACTACTGGTGGTGGTTTGAGACAGGAAACCCAGCAAACTGACCAGATACCCCCTGCATCTACGAATGCCTCCGAAAAGGAAATAATGAGTGTTCCACATGATGAGTATGAGTGGTTTATTCAGGCTACATCTTAGCAGAACACGGCTACCCTTGCACACTCAAGTATGGCTTATCTGGCATCTAAACCTTCCCACTGGATTATCGATTCTGGAGCCTCCAATCATGACTGGGACACCATGTGTGTTTTCCTCCCTTTCTCAGTCCTCCACATCACATTTTGTTACTCTTGCTAATGGTTCCACATCTTCCATATGTGGTGTTGGTAATGTTGACATAGATTCATTATCCCTATCCTCAGTTTTGTATGTTCCCAAGTTTCCCTTTAACCTTATGTCTGTTAGTAAATTGACCAAGTCTCCTAATTGCTCTATCACCTTTTACCCTTCATCTTGTGTTTTTCAGGATCTCAAGACAGGGATGAAGATTGGTGGAGGGCATGAAGTTGGCGGACTATATTATCTTGATGGAGGTGGTTCGACAATAGCCCTTTAAACATCTCTTCCTCCTCTTCAGTGGCACTGCAGACTTAGTCATTCGTCTCTCAAAGCACTTAAGTTACTTGTTCTATCCTTGAGTCGTTTTTCTACTTTGGATTGTGAGTCGTGTCAGTTTGAGAAACATCATCGTGTTCCCTTTAATCCTGGGGTTGACAGTTGTGTGTCAAGTCCTTTTCTTTAGTCCATTTGGACATCTGGAGTCTGAATAGAGTA